TTTTAACACTTAATTATTACTTATCTGGAGATTTGTATCGTACATCTTGACTCTTGACAATAATTTCGTCATATAATTTTGTCAAGTTTAAAACTTCTGCAATTTCATACCTCTTCTATTTGAAACTTTACTCAAATAGCGGTGGCTTTTTAAAAGTTGACTCACAGTCAAGTTTACGGAACAAAGATTGAATGTTATTTACTTTAACTTATACTATAGGTTATAAAATAAAAAGATTTTTTAAAATTTGATTTATAAATGTATTATACATAAAAAACGAAATAGTGAACCTTGATGTGGGTTTACATTTACTGAAATTAATCTTTTATAAAATTTTCGTGTCACAATGTTAATTACCATACACCTTCTCAACGCCTTGCCCGTTTTTAAAGAAATTATTTTATGCAAATTCAGTAAGTCTGATAATTAGGTACTATATATTTTTTGTCCTCTCGCGGACAGAGTCGCGGGCGATGGCTAGTTTCATTGTGTTAATAAAGTACATATCAGTTCTTCAATCCAAATTACCTGCGCTCGTTTACATGGACAACTCATCAAATTTTCAAACACTAACACTGAGAATTCATGTTGGCCTTACAAAGTAAACCCTCGCGGAGTTTCATTAATTTCTGGTAACATCAAACGTCCTGTTAATTAGTGCGAGTCCATCGATGCCAAACTTAATGTTTACTTAGCTGGTAGTTGATTACAAATGCAACTGCAAATACAAAAGCACTTTTCGATGAAGCAAGTAACAGCACTGCTTTTTACGTACCTTTTCCACTCGTGGCTAGTGGAAAAAGGGTCTGAAAGACGAACTCCAGTTCGATCGTTACTCAGCAGACTACTCTACTATTTGTTCAAATTACTTAAATTGCTACAGAGCGATGTGTTATGGAAAAATTAAGCGTTCTAGAATATTCTAAGCGGAACAAAGACATTCCAGCGTATGTCTAGACGCTTGAAAGATAGCGGCAGAGAGACGAAGGTGGCATTTTATTGTTCGACGTGTCCGCACTTTCACTACACATTTGGAATAACATTTTTTTACGAATAGTAGATGTAATGAAAACATTCTCATTTTATTTACACAATAACAATCTTGATTAACAAAAGAAAAAGATAAGATATAATATTTATAGGTTTTTATAAATCATATATGTTTTATTTTTTAAATAATTTCTAGCAGAATCGTAACCCAGTCAATCTGAGAAAAAAACATGGATATGCATAAATTAAAGTTTCAAAGTATCAACCCAACTCAAAGTATCAGTCTCAACCCTTATATCTTTGTTTTAAAATTTATATGAAAATTATAACTAAACAGTACAATTTATGCCAAATAAATTAAGGACCGTCTTTAGATAGTCAAAGTAAAGGGAAACATCTGAGCCGGCTTACCAAAGTGACCTTTAGTTTTTGTGTTACTAAACAGGATGGAGGTAACATCTTGCTCAGCAAAAGTACAACGTTTCTTATTGTAGTGATTAAATTTAATATAGCTTTTCTTGTAGATTAATTGACATTAAGAAAAAGTCACTATCACTCAAGTAGGGTCAGCGAAATATGTTTTGATGATAAACAAACAAAACATCGAATATAAACAATCTTAATACTTCAATTATTCATTGTCTTTGTTCCATTTTACTATTTAAAAAGTTAATACACAATGTAACTGATCCGACATAACCTTAGGCACAAATCAAATTAAATAAAACATACTTGATACGGTTGTATTGATGAATCTTGAATACCTTTACTGCACTCGTATTTGGTTTTGAATAGTGCTTTTTAATCTACCGAATGAGCATTCGATGTTAGTCAATATACCACTCGCGGGCGCTGTCTGAAGTGGGTACCGGACAAAACCAGGGGATGGCAATACCCCTGATAGCACACTATTTAAAAGCGTGTTTCCATTAAAAACCGAACGAGAAAAGAAAAGAAATTTTGCTTTCTCAAAAAGAGAATATATTTGTCCGTTATAATATATAAATAATATAATAATATATGTATATATAATCTTAAATGTTTAATCGCAGGACATTTGTTAGTAATTATATATAGCTCTCCCTGTATATAATAATATGTCAAACGTTTCTTAAGATACGCCGAGCGTAAGGTTCCTTATGACCGGTTGTGGGTTCTTAGTGCGACGTAATCTGTTCTTGTCCCCGTTAAAGCAGATGCTAGGGCATTTTCTCGCATGATATACCTACATTCATATATAATGTAATAGTTTTGTATTATTTGTGGCAGCCCTACGCAGTGTAAGGCACTCTCTATTTATTCACTATTCAAAAACTAGGAACCGCATACGCTGTATCGATACATCTCTAGCAGTTTTTATCGAAGGCACGAATTTTATTCTTTCATAGACCACCAATAAATAAAAAAATATAACAAATGGTTTTGTTTAAATCGCATCAACTGTCTTTTCATTCGCTTCAGTCATTTCAGACTTGTTGTGGTCATGAAGTAGATGCAGTGATCAAGTCTAGTTTCCTTGAAATACTTACAAAGAAGTTCCACGCAAATACTAATAATTTAAAATATTTTAAGTAACGAAATATGAATTGAAGTTCTTTGAAAACAACAAAATTAGTTTCGTAAAATTATTGCCAATCAAAAAATTTTGTTTCAATTAATGTTGTTTCTATTCTAGAACTATCCACACATTGCTATATAAACATGAAGCTTGTAAGCGCAATAAAGTCTTTAAGCTCACACACTAGAATACAGACACGAAACTATGAGCTTATATTGATAAAACATTCTAGAAATACTTTCCACTTCCTTAAGGTAGTAAAAACGAGGTACGTTCACAGACATAGTAGACAAATCACGTAGATGTCAATTTCGTAGCATTTCGTAGCATTTGATTGCGAGGTCACACTCCAATCGGGAAAAGTTATTTGTCTATCAAACGGCACTTTGTACGTTTGAAAGCTCGCAGTATTACCCTTTCTATACGTTGATGGACAATTTTTGTATGAAGTAACAAAAGCTCGTAACCGTTGGATTCTACTTGATTAAAAACCTGTTCCAAAACATTTTCGTCCTTCATTATTATAAAAAAGAAATAACAATTAAATAAGGAAATTAATATTATAGAAACTAAAACATCTTTTCAAAATCAACAATACTTCGTTAAGTCGAAGTATTAGATAAAAAAAGAATTTATTGTCCAAAAAGTACTTCGGTCTAGAATGAGTTCTACATTTTTTTTATATCATAAGGTGGCAAACGAGCGAGCGGCCACCTGAAATAGCGAAGTGACCGTTGCCCATAGACATACGCAATTGCATATGCGTTACCTACCTTTGATCGACGGAGGAGAGCATGCACAAAGAGAAAATATTTTCCCTTTCCATGCATCCTCTCATCCGGAAAGTCTACTTGCACTTCCCATCCTTTTCAGATAAGAAGAAGGGTGGGAAGGGAAAGAGGTCTAAATTAGGCCTCCGGGACGCACACTCATCAGACTGTACGCGGAATAGCTTCCACTTCACGTCTGTCTTCTGTGTGGTCGTGGTATTTCACCGGGCGAGCCGGGCCGATTCGTGCGAAGATGTTAAAGCGGGCTCTACCACTGTTAATGTTTCACTAATAGACTGTTCTCAGTTGCATTGCGTTATGAATTTACTTTACTTTAAGTACTTCATAGACAGCAGGTCAAAAACATAAATATTTCATTTCTGGATTACATTAGACAGATTTAGGACATTAATGTCCATCTTTCATCCTGTCAGAATAAACAACACTGACGTCATGCGACAGCATTGACAGAGTATAAAAAAATAATATCCGATGCAGTCATCCATCAATCTGGACTGCAAACGCGTCACATCTGTAATTACTTAATACTTTGTCAATACGCGTCACTTGAATCACGATATGCGTCGCTTGTTTGTGTTAAAACAATTAAATTGTTAACAACTACTACTATAAAGTTATCGGAACCAAGAAGTTAAAGAATGGTAATAGTACTATCTTACTTTTTGAATAAATTAAACTGAGAAAATAAAGAAAACTTAAAAAAGTGCAAGTTGTTATAATACTTAGTACCTTCTTCTTCTTCGTCGTTACAGTCTTTTCAGACTGGTCGTGGTCATCAAGTTTCAGTGACCCGCTTTACCAGGCACCGTCACTCCTCCCTAGTCGCTGACTTTTTACTACATTGGTGTAGGGGGACATCTACAGCCGCTCTGATTTGGTCGGTCAACCTCATAGGCGATCTTCCTCGTGGTGTGCTGCCCTCAACTTTCCCCTGCACCACAAAGCGCTCGATCTACTTACGTCTACAGACGTGACAAAAAAATTTGAGTACGCGAACGTGAAGAATGGATGACAGACGCTGCTTGATGCCTAGTTCTTCGAGGATTGACTTGTTAGTCCGGTATCTTCAGCAGTATGACTTAGTACCTATAGAAGTAAAAATATTAACTACGACATTATTAATTTAATTAAAAAAAATCTAACACTTATAAAAATAGCGCCTGATGAAAAATCGTTAGCGATAAATTTGGGCCGAGGAATGTTTTTTGTCCATTAATCAAACGGCACGTAATTTTTCTTAATGACCGGGCACAAAGAACGGTGATCAACCTGTACAATTTATTGTACCTTATACCTCGCCTTTCCTTTCCTTTTCCTATTGAAATGTGATTGATAGTAACTCCAAATTCAGCGAACGAAATTATGATATCTAGAACTTAATATGATATGGATATAATATAATAATCGAATACATTTTGACATCTCTTGAAGTTTATGTAAATCTTATATATAAAATTCTCGTGTCACAATGTTCGTCCCGATACTCCTCCGAAACGCCTTGACCGATTCTCATGAAATTTTGTGAGCATATTGAGTAGATCGGAGAATCGGCCAACATCTATTTTTAATCCCGCGCAGACGGAGTCGCGGGCGACAGCTAGTTATACTATATGATTATTTTATTTATTCATTTATTAAAAAATAACTGTTGCTTGTTTCAGGTTTTGACTGCTGGATGCTTTAATAGACCATGAAACAATGGATTTAAATCGTAAGTTTTACAACCATTGTTGACAAGAACCGTAATTCTTATATTCACAAATTACTGTGGTTACTACGTAAAAATAAATTGCTATTTCTGATTTTATAAAGATAATAGGGATGACTATAGATTTTCATACTAGCATAATATAAACTGACGGATACATAATATTAACTGTTTAAATATCGAACATTATTGACATGCACGTCGAACGGAATACAAGAATTGTTTCTTAAACAATAGAAGGCGATGGAATAGCTAAAAGCAGCCATTGGCTTACTGACTCGTAACTGAATGACCGATGTAATTACATCGTACCTGGTACTGACGAAATAGCTTTTATTTCAGACTATAATAGAAGTTTGAATCATCGTACGTTCTATGTAGGAGATGTAAACTGGGCCACGATGTCAGACCTATTCCTGTTGACAATTTTTATGTACATAATTAAAATAAAAGGGATTTGAATCCTCTTCACTAAGGCTTTATGAATACTCAGAACAATACGGAGTGCGGAGTGAGAGCAAATCACTTGAGGATTCCTTCAATCAACAATAAAAGTCGAGTGGCAACTTCAATTTTTAAAACCATATTAAATCAATGTTCTGATTTAGCCAGAGAAGTTTTGTGCTCTAAAATTGAAAAAAATAAAATAACAAAACAGGACTTGCTTCTAATGACACATTTTTGAAACTTGATTTGTATTAGGTCGTGCATTCTTACTGGCATTCAAATTATTAATTTTTCCTTTAATTACCATTTCTATAAATCGATCCAGTTTCTATAATGTATTAACAATTAAAACATTTGAAAGTTAAATTAGCCTGAAGGAAGCAAACATGTTTACTCATTCGAAGCTTAAATCGTATTAACTTGCTCCATTTTATTTATGTTACTACAGTTCGATAAGTTAATCTTCTCTTGTACTTATAATAATTAACAAAAACTTTTAAAAAGATTTAAAATTATATGCCATTGGGGAATGAAAATAAAAATCATGTATTGAGTACCGCATTAATAATGTTCCACATATTTGTAAGAATTACAGTTAAAACATCATTGAGAACAAGATAAGAAAATCTAAATTTCAAACAAACATCACATATTTGGTAAACCAGTGTGCGCTAACGACACTGATAAGTTCCCTAACAGTCACGAATACGCTCTCAAAACTGCGCTATTTGTATGATTGAAATATAAGATAAATAAATGTCACTAATGAAACAAAAATCAACTGCGTTCGGTCACAAAAAGTGATGATACCTTTTTCTAATTCGATCTGGAATTGCATTATATGCAGGTCCTGGGTTCGAATCCCGCCATGTACCAATGTGTTTTTCGATTTACATATGTACATTTATCCGACGTTCTTACGGCGAAGGAAAACATCGTGATGCAACCTGCACATATCTGAGAAGAAATTCAAAGATATGTGTGAAGTCAACCAACCCGCACTTGGCCAGCGTGGTTGACTCTGGCCTAGTCACCCCTGAATAAGGGTAGGCTCCGAGCCCCTCGGTGGGGACGTTTAGTGAGCTAATGGTGTTGATGATGATAGTTGTTATGTCTACGAAAAACATAAGTAGCAATAAAATAGTAAAGGACTCTTAGGCAAACATTTTCAGTTTTAATTCTTAAAATACGTAAGCAGCTTCCTACAACTCACGAAGGGAATTATTGTGACGATGACGTAGACTTTTTCCGGAAAAATGTTTTTTTTTGGCTACTTATAATAGAAGTAGGTTATAAAAACTCGTATACCAATTTTGGTGCCTAAGTGTGTTACAATATTCGTTTGGTTAGACTTTTAAGAAGCAAACTATTTAAATATTACGTTTAACCACGATATTTATATTTTTACAAAAGTTTTTTAGGACGAAGTTTATACTATCATTGTGTTTTTGCAGGGAATATTCAAAACGTCAGTATTTCTTTGTTACTTCGCGCCTTTTTTGTTTCTCATTCCGCTTCTCGTTCCCGTTTCCAAATCCCGAAAATAGGAAAACATACGTAAATGGCGAAATAAACAGACGTACCAAAGCATCGTGGTGACTTACGAGACAGTAAGTTAGTAACAAAATAAACTAATCTACTAATCAGTTACGGTAGGATTCGTTTTTATCTTCCAAATCGATTTACCATCTATTTTAATATGTAATGAAATAACATTAACCATAAAATTAATTTACAAATTCTCTACAATTAAATATTAAAATCCAATGTTTCAAATACACGTAACAGTATTTCTCATTACCTTTAGCAAATTATTGAATAATCTAATCAAATCCGTTAACAAACGAAATCGTTATTAATTTTACAGTATGTTTTGCTTACGCTTTGATTAAATTTATGTTTTATAAACAACGCAATATTACTATTCTATTTGTAGAACATGTAATAACTTACTTCTGAACTGGATGATAGTTTGATTTGAAAGACAAAAGAGATAAGAATAGAGAGATGATGTAAATACTTAGGATATATATTAATAGTATATAGAGGGAGATACAAGATATATCCACTTTATAAGTGAAGAGCATTTCAAGAAGCTTGGTGGAGACAATGCACGAGTACCATGCGCTTCCAATATTCTTGCAGGCTTTGTTGAAACTTACAAAATATAGTGTAGTTCGATGAAATTGATATTTATTTCTTATATCACATTTTTCAATCACTTGAGTTAATAAAGATACTTTTAAAGTTGTTTAATAAATAGAATATTATTCTTTTAAAGTCATGACAGAAGTAGTATAGCTTAATGATGTCCCACTTTAAACGAATAGCATTTTCTAAAGACTCCACCTTCAATCTTATACAGTACATCGCAAATCTACACAAAGGATGTCAAAAAAATCTTTGCATAGCAGATGTATAAAATAAAACGTTCGCAAATTTCGTTTAAATTCAATTAATTCCAGTGCGCGATCATCATTCATAATGCAAGTGCTGGGTGACAATTTATGTAGCTGCTTAAAAAGCACTAAGTTCCGCACGTTCCTAGCCGTTTAAATGGACCGCTTTGGTGTGCGTGCGTTGAATGTTAAACAGTTCCTACGCGCTGATGCTTCTAATGTAACTGTCGTGGATAGGATTTACGAAAAACTTTACCTAGATTAAAAAAAACTTATTTCTTAGTACATAGTATGCAGTAATAATACAAATGCGAATGTTAAGATGGATGGATGTTTGTTTGAAGGTATCTCAAGAACGGCTGAACGAATCTCGATGAAATTTGGCGTACATATAGAACATAGGCTACAAATTAAGTTAATAAAACTTAATTTGCAGCCTATGTACCTTATTTACGTGCGGACGAAGTCGCGGACGACAGCTAGTATATTCATATGTTCGATTAAAAGTAAATAACATTATTATTTTTTTTAAATATTTGAACTGTAAATTACAATTTTAAAGTAATGTAAATAACGAGAAATAGTTATCTAATTATGAAGCTAAAGCGCTGTTAAAAAGACAAGTACATTTACTATTAAATTTAAATTAACATAATCAAAGTGGTTAGGTCAAAATCTTTGCCTGATTCACTAAGTTATATTCTCTGAAAACAAAGGTCGGGCCATCATTAGAAATCTCAACATTTACTCAGCACATTACAATAAACCAGTCGTATACCTGACATTCTAGTACTAAGTAAATTTACATAGTTTTCAGATTTGCTGCGACATTACCTCGCATATTTGGTTTCGGTAAAGTTTCTTTGTGTTGTAATATGATTTTAAAAAAAAGGACTTTCATCTTATTAATACAATAAATGCCAGTGTTTGGATCGATGTTTTTTCGGTGTCTTCAGAACGGCTGCATGTAAGAACACATAGGTTACTTAATAAGTTTTTTTTTAATTCCGCGCGGACAGAGTCGCGGGCGAGAGTGGTTACAATATATCTTGTTCGATTGATGGTGATTGGTATGTATTTAAAACAAGGATCTAATAAATCTGCAAGAGCGGGATCCAACATACTTTTATGAAAGTTGATTGATAATATGTTGGTAAAGCGTGCGGAGCATTAGTTTTACTTAGCGACGCAGATTCGCGCATAAAGACGATTTACGATGTTGGTCATTGAGGTGAGCTTCAACAGCCTCTACATTATCTACGTAGTAAGTAAGTATATATGTATGTATCTTAATGTTCTTACGGTGAAAGAAAACATCGTGATGCAACCTGCACATATCTGAGAAGTAATTCAAAGATATGTGTGAAGTCAACCAACCCGCACTTGGCTAGCGTGGTTGACTATGGCCTAATCACCCTTAACTTAGTGTAGTCTCCGAGCCCCTCGGTGGGGACATATAGTGAGCTGATGATGATGACGAAGTATGTATAACATGAATCTTACGGGAGAGATTTTTTGAATTTATTCAAAGAAACAAGTCATTGCAAGTCTTCGGGGATCAAAGAGAGTGTAAGAGACCTGATTAAATTAGACAAAAAAGAAATTTTTGGATATAATTTTATTCAGACCGCGCAAAATGTTGTAATGTTTATTGCTAAATACAATATTGAGAGGCAATGTTTTAATTAACTCAAGAATATACAAAGTTTCGTTTACACAAACATTACCTTGATCCTTTTATATCTAAAGTGTGGTCTACAATGATCCTTGTTTATCCTACCTGTCGGTAATGTGCGCCGACCTTACGTAGCACTACGTTCAAAATGCTGGCAATATCCGAACCGTATACGTACATAATGAACTTCACACTTCAAATTGGCCGCTTTTACACTTTAGCTTCCAACTTACCTATCGCAGAATACCCTCGTTTAAACCTTCCAGATAACTTATTTTGCATTGTTTTACGTAGGGAAGCGTCAACCAAAACCTTATCTGGACTGACATTTTAATTAATCTACTTCATACTTTTATACGCTTACTTGTTAAATTTAAAAAAAATTCTTTATTTTATACTTAGCACAAAAGATGTACTATGAAAATATCATTGAAAGGCCCTTCGTGCAAGCGACTTAAATCGTCGAAACCCGGCGATTTTAGTCGCTAAACAACTTATGCAGTAAAAAGTCATGGAAAGTAAACAGGCACGCGTCGTCGCCTTCATTTTGTTCTTTAGTCGCTCGTAACCTGTTTGACAAGATCTTCGTGAGAATAGTCGCTGTTGAAAAGACAACTCCCATCGACTATTCAACGTTGTGTGTACACAGCACATGCAGAGCGATACTCTCGACGCATAGTTACAATTAGTTTTTGAGATTTACTGTAGTTTTACACTAAAATGACAATTGTATTGATATTTATTGCCATCTCTTATGTTGTCTTTAAAAAAACAGAGATAACAATATGAGATACGTGTCTCGACAATCAAAAACCCACGGGAAAAAAAACGCAAAAATTTTATTTTATAATTTATTTTATACCACCTTATAGCCTAGTCATAAGAATAGGTCAGTAAATAACTGACTAGTACATATCAGTTCATTCATCTACAGCGTGATTACATACAGTACATAACAAAGCATATATAAATAATAAAATCATTACATTACTATTTTATCGTTACAAACTATACCGATGTTATGATAGTGAATGGTGTCATATGTGTTCTTAATATAAGCGATATTCGTTTTTAACTAAGCCATAATCTTCCTATAAAAAATGCTGTACTGAACTGTCCACCAACGCTTGTAAAGCCTTCGATAATTATGATTACAATTTTCTTATGGTTTACGGGATTTAATACTTGTTCTATTTATAAGCTATGTATGTTCGTATGATTGTTGAAAATTCAATAGTGAAGCAATGTTTAACTAATATTATGCTTATATATTACATGTTTTTACATAAGTGTAAAAATATTTATGTTTAATTCTTAAAAAAGAATTGTCGTTCTGCAGTATTTTACATTAGCGTTGACAGACATGCAATATTTTGAGATGTTCGTGTACATACTAAGTGTACTTAAACTGAACCTCTTTAAGTTTACCTAAAGTATAATACTTGACCTTACTTGAATTAAAGCATTATTTTCAAGAATTACGAAAGCAATGGTCAAATGCTACGAAACATAAACGGTGTAGACCAAGCGCTACGAACGCGCTACGTGCTTATACTACGTATGACGGTCTTTTCTAAAACAAGTGATAGTGACATCACCGGAAGTCAAATCACGTATTTCGTAGCTTGTCTTTAAATCCTCGGCTCAAAATCCCACAATAAATTTCGATAGGATCGTACAAGTATCCTATAAAATTTTAAATCTGGCGCAATTGATCAGATTCAGAATATATAAAACGCATAAATATGACAAATGTTTTATTCGCGTTTTATTGTAAAGCACAAAAATTGGGCGTGTAATATTTTTCTTATTCTTTCAAATAATTCATAAATAGAAGAGCAAGATGATATAAATAGTAAGTACGTAATTTGCTGAAGAATAAAAATTTATTAAATACTCATATAATATGATGTTAATTTTTATATAAGGAAATAGCGATTTTAATATTCAATTACTAGTCGATACTGAAGAGCCCGCCTGTTAAGGGTAGACTTGTATTAAATAACGCGGTTTTTCGCAAAACGACTAAACTTCACACGACACCCCTCGCCTGCGCCAACTAATGACGTTCACGTACAGTATAATTAATTGTCGAGGAAACTTTGCACGCCATTGTAGACCTATTCACATCACAATAATGAACAAATTCCAATGAAAACATTCGTTAGAAATAATTTATGCTTCTCAAATCTCACGTTATAAGCTTGATAAATTCACCCCCCTGTATATAAATAAACAAAACGAACGGTAAACAAATATTCTGTTAATTACATCTGACCGACTATGCGATTATGATTCTTATTGCATCACGTCAAAGATTGAAATGCAACGTCTCGAAACTATATAGAAATTAACCATGATTTCACTCGCACGTGGAAGGAAACAACTGAAGGTGACTTTCAGTATAATTATTATACAATTTATATCAATTCCGTTATTTTGTAAACTATGTGATTTTTTTTACCGATAGATGGACGCACTTTTGGATATAACACAAGCCTTGAGTTATGTAAGTAAAATCTTAAACTAGCAATTATTTTCAATAATTCAAGTAAAGGTTATTTATTTTATCTGCTGTAAGTTAAGTAAGAACTGCAGTACTTCAATGACATAAGCTGTACTATTATATTTTTTTCTAAAAAAAAATAAAAAGTCTTTTAAAACGATGTCTTTTATAAAATACATTTCATATTTTTAGTGATTATATTATACAATCTTAAGATATTCTCATATTCCATATCTCACCCCATATTAAATATAATTCATCTTACCTATAACACATATTAATTTTAAATAGCATTATATGTTTGTTGCCACACATGTGTGATCCTAAGATCTATAAAGCATATTATAACTTAGTGTCGCGGAGTAATACCGCCGCTTCGTAGGAAGGCAGACCGCTGTCGACGCGTCCAGTCTGACAGCGCAGACACGGTTCTGTTATCACCTCCTGGAAATACAAACATACAAATTATGTTTAATGTAAACACAATTCATTCAATTACAAGTTTCCTTTTTTCACGCAAACCTTACTTTATCAATGTAATATTGAAATGTAACCTAAATTATAATTCGTTCGATGCTACGAGACCCGTAGCAAAGGCGATACTAGCGATTCTGCGTAATTTTGAGCGTACACATACCAAAGATACAATATGAGTTTATGTACACATTGGGTGATATAGACAGGAGTAAGTTATGGAAATTTAATTTACATGTTTACCTGTAACGAATGACATGGCTTATGATCTGTCGTATCATCAACGACGGTCTCGTAAGCCGGCGGCGGGCCCGGCAGCTCCATCTGAACCTACAGACAACGTAAACTTGCTATTAAATATTAAACAAAACACAAGTTGCGGCAGTAACTTATTCAAAATCATCGTTCTCACTCTTTAAGTGGAGCCAAAGAGAATCAAATGAACTTTCTAATATTAAACGTGGATTTCTGAGACCAAAATTCGACTTTAAAATGTATTCTTGTCTTTGTTTTGTCATAAGTAATGACAGGGATAATGATACGTGTTATACAGAGATGTTGATCTTAGAACCCGACGGTAAATATTTTGGATGATATTAAGCACTTTTATTAACAAAATTGTGATCAAATTGTATGTTTAACATTTCTATATTATTAGCCATACCATTACCTTGTTTACAACAAAATGTATTAGAATTCTGCGTTCAACGTTATATTGCGTCCTCTTGAGACGTAACGTCTCGCGTCTCAACCACGCGCTAGTTAGCGACGCACTTCAAACCGAAACGCTTTAATTTTTGCATGCAGCACCTACAACTCGCGACATAAGAAAGTGTTAATACCTATTTAAATGGCCTGCCAAAAGCAAGTACGGTGCTAATTAAATAGAGAGGACGTATTACAACATGCCATGTGAGACTATATTATTAAAATTTTATATTAGGTACAACGATTTCTAAAAGCTAAAGTTGCTATTTATTCTTGCATCTTAATTGGAAAAAGTTTGCAATGTTTCATTTCTATTTTAGAATTTATTTATCAGATCTGTAAGTATCGGGCGTGATAATTAAATCGACAGCCTCGTAGATAAAAGTTCAATGTAAAAATAGCACCGTAGCACTGAATTATCGAAGACGACTGGCGTTTTATTCAATTACAACTGACGTCCATTGAAACGATAAAAGCATTGTTAAATTTTGCATTCTTATTACATTCAAATTAATCATTTCAATTTATTTCAAGTATCGTAGCACAGTAAGAATATTATTCTTATCTCGATTTCCTGAGAAAGAATGACAAGGATGGCAATAACTTGTTACAAAAGTTTTGCAGCAGTGAAAACTCACCGTTAGCGGAAATCATAGATAAATTTATAAATTAAACAAAACTGAATTGAAAATAGATAGTTTCGAATCACTAATCAATCAATCACCGTTGAGTGGTTTGATGATATGACCCCTAATCTGTAAATCATTGTATCTAATCGGAATTCCCTCAATGATTATATCGCAATTATATAAATTATATACCTTAGTTTTTGCCAGTAGAGAGGAGTACAAATAATATGTTAATTGTTAAAAGTGCTTTTGATATTTCTAATTCAGTTTATCATATTATTTACTTTATAAAACTAAACTAATACAAATTAAAACGTACTTAAAAAATACATATGTATACAATATAGTAATAATAAACGTTTAAATTTTATCGTAATTGTTGCTTTAGTTACATATTTTATTAAGCTTCTTAGCTAGAGTTATACAGTTTACTTAGTTTTATAGTAACCAGTAACTCGCTGTCATTAACTCTTCTTTTTCTTATTTCAGATGTGTACAAGAAATAAAACACGATAGCCAGACATAATAAATAGATTCTATTTGTAATGGTAAGTTGAATATGATGGATATGTCCTATTTTAAAGTTAACGACTGTCTCTCTCTCTCTCTCTTTCTCTCTCTCTGCCTAGCTTGCATCCCACAAGGTGGTGGGTTCAGCTTTCCCAATAAGTCTCTTCCACTTCGCTCTGTCCATGACATCTTCTTCGGAAACTTGGCACTCACTCGTGTCTTTTAATACTATATCTTTCCATCTCGTTTTGGGTTTTGCCTCTGGATCTGCGACCAGGGAGGGAAAAGTGTAGTGTAATAACGACTGACTATGCGATTAAATTTATAAATGAAAATAATTTTCAAACTGATATCAAAATGATTTCATGTCGTATTTCAAAAGCATAATACGTAGTAACGCATGTGCTAAAACTGATTGTCGTCTCAGGTTTATTCAAAAGAAGGAATGAGATGACAATATGTGTGCTCTATGACTTTCAGTTATAGTCTCGACGGATGACCTCCTTAAGCGAGAAACTCGGGTTAGAGAATAACCTCTATAAGCGATAAAAATATCACGGTCCGTCGTACTCTTATCCAGATTCGACTGTACATAAGTTACATCGAGTGTAATCCAACACTAAAGTATAATTAACCTTTGTAACAAAACACACAGAACTTTTCTATTGAATACCACAGAAAGGATTCACTTAGCCCCATTGTTTGTACCGAAGATAAACAATAGCACACATTAATGTTGAAAGAACGACACAACTAGCGGTAATGGATAAAGACTTGAAATACGATACTGCTGTTGAACAATGAATTATTACCTCGTGGCCAAATGTCTATGTTATGTTGCTATCGATATGTCAAGGGAAAGATAAAAGGCGCCGGTATTGTTGTGTTTGATAGTCGAAGGATAATGCTTTTATAAAAGTTATTTTAGAAAACTTTTACAATCTATTCTATTAACTCATAAGAGTAGTTATTTAAATATTAATAATGAATAAAAAATATTAAAAAAAAGAAAAAACAAACAAACATAAAGCCAACTCTTGCCGAATATGAATTTTAATATGTACTGGTTTTCCTTCGTTTGCAATGTTGGTACATTGAAATAAAACAATTTACTATTATAATATTTTGAATTGTCCTCCAGTACTAGTAAGATTATAAATAACTGATGTAACCTCATCATCATCATCATCAGATCACTATACATCTCCACCGAGAGGCTCGGAGCCTACCCTAAGTTATTAGCTACGTGATTAGGCCATAGTCAACCACGCTGGCCAAGGGCTGATTGGTTGACTTCCCACATATCTTTGAATTTCTTCTCAGATATGTGCTGGTTGCATCACGATGTTTTCCTTCACCGTAAGAACGTCGGATAAATGTACATATGTAAATCGAAAATCGAAAAACACATTGTAACCTGTTTGTATATTATTCCGAAACTCAATTAACCAGTAGTATACAAAATTAATGTTCATTACAAGACGCGATATTCCAATGATTAGAACGTGGAATAAATATTTTATCTGTAGTAAATAATCGATGACCGTGTACGAACACGCGACGTACTATATCGATTTTATTAATCGAATTGAAGATTAGTACTCGCGGCACGAGTTAGTAATTTCCAACGTTCTCCAGCCATAAATCATAACGTTTTGATTATAGCAATCTAGTATTTCTGAGGTCTTAATGTGCCTTCATTTAATATGATAGTACTAATCATTTAAATAAACGCAGTGGGTAAATAATCTTGATGATGAGGCTTTGTTTTACTGCCGCCCGGGACATCTTCCACGCGGAATTAAAAAAAAGTCTTAATGGTCTATATGTTCTTCCAGACTGTGTGCCATTTGAGCTGTTCTGGAGATACCTTCTTCATCAAACATTCTTCCATCCAACCATCTATATTTTAATTTATTAAATTTCTAATTGCATTCTATATTTAAACATGAAAAAGTTCAAATAAAACTTTCTGACTAAAACCTGCAATTTTACCACATGAGTAAAATTGTCCGTTTTAGTGAGCAACTTTTATCCCATTGAGCGAATTAAGCTGTTAATTCTTCGCCTTTTTAATTCGTTTGAACAGGAAACTTCTGGGATGGAGCAGTTGAATACGGTTAGACTCCTTTTCCACTAGAAGCGGCTATATACAGACACCATCGTGCAGTCTATACCGACAGCTTCGAGCAGTTGTTTTAAGAGGATGACTGCAAACTGCAATCCGTATGAGGTGGTCATTAATCTTGTATATGAATATCATGTCGGGCAAAGCCAAACGAATGAAGCTATCTATCACAACTAGACATTGCCGTCCGTGTTTGGCTGCGCTAGAGTGCTATATCTACGTACAGTCGCGATCGCACCTGTAGAAATATTTCACCTATTGTATGTAGGAGAGAATAGTACTAAGTGGAAAAGGGGTGTAACCACCTTCAGGACGCAGACGATCACTTATTTAGTTGTTGGGGCATGTGCCCGGGGAGAACCGCCGAGCGGAAACCAATTATCGCAAATGCGATTTTTATTTCGAAACAGCGAACACCGCTCGTTAAATCTGGCGAATACGAATCTTTAACCTCGTGAGAGTCTTAATACCTATCGCTAACCAGAATATTAATATATCGATGTATTATGCTTGAAGTAATATAGCCATTAATATTACATTTGCACAAAAATACTCGTATGTAATTTGTAATAACAATAAAAACTTCTAACTATTAATTCGAAGTTAGATTAAGAAGAATGTAATTTTAAAACAGCTGGAGAGCATGAATGAATCTGATATATATTTTATTGAGTAAATGCGTTAATATTTTTGTAGTTTCATCTCCTATGCTGAAATCCAGACCTATTTACCTGTTTCGAATCAACATTTGCCATATTCGATTCATATGTATGATATTTGTTATATATACTCAGACTTGCATACTAAGCAGCAACAATAGGATTTTCCAGGCGAGGCACTTAAGCGCTGGGAAGACTATGCAAATTTTTAAATAGTTAAGTGGATGTCGGCGACTGTCTGAAGTCAGGAGCTTTTATCGTCTTATGGAATTTGTTTAAAGTTGAACAAGCTACCATTGAACTTTTTACTCTTTTTTTAATTAATTCTTAAAATCGATTAAAAAACTTTTACATGTGTTACAAGCCTAATGTTACTTAGGAATAATAGTACCTGGATGACCGAGCTTTGCTCGGTATTTTTTTTTTATATTGTGTTTTTTGGAAATTATATTTAAGTATGAATTACTAATAAAATGATGAAATATGAATAATATTTTTCGATCTTACAGATAGAAAAAGTTAAGTTTATGTTTAAGTTGATTATCGATAAAACACGAATAAAATGACATTTTCTAAAAATGATTCCCAGCTAGATCGATTTATCGCCCCCGAAACACCCTATATACTAAATTTTATGAAAATCGTTGGAGCCGATTCCGAGATTCCAATTATGTATATATATATATATACATATATATATATATATATATATATATATATATACATATATATATATATATATATATATATATATATATATATATATATATATATATATATACAAGAATTGTTCATTTAAAGATATAAGATAAGATATTATTCTAATAGAGAATTATTGAAATCCTTTCAGTATTATTTAAGCTTTTTGTTAAAAACGTAAAACACATTTTTCTGTATAATTAGCGTAATAAGAATATTTGAAGAAAACCGTGGTAACAAAAGTGCTATGATATTCTTTATTCAATTATTTATTTATTTATTTAAAAACTGCATAGCATCCTTACAGTATACAACCAATGTGACACTATACACACTTTACATAACAGTTTACACGATAACATATTTTATAATAACAGTAAATAACATATAACAATCATAAATAAAAAGAAAAAAAAATACATATAATACAGTGCAAGAATATATAAACGCGTAACTAAACATCAATATTCAAACGTCTTCCACACATCTGTACGCAGCCTCTGTGAATTTCGACTCGCTGCAACTAAATAAATCTATATCTCTAGATATGATATTGAGAAGCCATATAGCACGTACTATAGAAGCATTTTCCAATAACTTCGTCCTAGCGGTGGGGTAGAGAAACAATTAGTATCTGCGTACTAAAATATGGAACATCTTAATCATATAAAGCCGATATTTACTGGTATGAAGAACCATATCGAATAAGTGTTATTAGTCTGATTATTATTTCATACCAAAACGTCCTCGATACATTTCCCGAGCCGACAATATTATAGCTTTTATTGCACTCTACTACTCCAAATAACCTATTGGGACTAGAGAAAAAATCATAAAAACACTATCAACAGTTTTTATGTGTTGTATCATCAATTAGTAGTCACTACAGCACTCATAGTCTACAAGTGTTCTTACCTAAGTATAGATTTCCTTAGCGATTATTTAACGAGTGCTCAGTAACTCTGATTGTGGTATAGTCTTTTAAAGTGCAAGATTATCGTTGGTCGATTTAAAAAGATTGATTTGTCTAAATTATTTCGTCGTTGAATTAAGTACTAACTTGAGATTACTATTCCATAAAAAACAAACAAAATCTTATTAAAACTTTACGACGCGGAGAGCGATAAAACCGATTGTTTTGTAATACGATTCAAGTATAAATGTAAAGTTGACTTTATTCTGCAGTAAATTCTTTATGCCAGGAAGATATTAATCGGCTCTTTATACGGTAGCGCCTGGAGAGACGCTTGAAAGTCTGGATAATAATCAGTCGCCGGGCTGTAGCAGAGCTACATAGTTATTTTTATTTAAAATATTTTAATATTTATAAATGACAATGAGCTTTAGATTTGCAACTACGGCGTTTACAAGGGACGCGAAATAGTAACAAAAATGCAATTACGTGTAAACTTTGACTCATAATAGTGACAAATATAACAGGGCATAGCCTTGCATTTTAACGTAACTTAATTAGGTTATGTTTATTTGCTCCCACTATTACAATACTAAAACAGTCATTAAAAATTTTCTTATCTTAATAAAAAAATCCAAAAATAACACGAAACAATCTGTGAGGGCTATTCCGGTGATTCTATTTCCAGCCCAAGGTCTGGCGCGAACTTGACCCACATCTGATCAAACACAATTACGATCGTCCCGGACATACGGATGAATTACCAGACATTCTGATTTACTTCAACTTTCGTATCTTTAATTAATTAAAACGGAATGTAACTCGAAAATTAAGTTACCAACAGATTGAATTACATTTCTCTTTAACTCTATTTATTTTAAGCGAAATCAATAGTGAAACCAATATTATAATGGAAATATTTTATGTCTGTCCATTCTCCAGGGTTTACTGGTGTGAGTGTTATATTTTTTTTAATATAAATCATGCAGTTATGTACCTTATGTCTGCTGAGAAGTATGTATTGGGCTATTATTTTGTCTAATATAAAAGCAAAGTTTCTATAAATTAAAAAACTCATTGTGATCATGATAAGTCATAGGTTGGTATAGAAAATAATAACTTTCTCGAATAACATTTTTATTATTAGATTGAAAGTAATTATTTCTCAAGGTCGCTTGGATCATAGCTATCGATATCGACAGGACACGAGGTGCCAACGCTTAGTTATATTATTGTGTAGTTCACGAACTTTTTAAATCACTTTACTGCAAAAGACGTTTATTTTAGGATTAGAATAAAAATATCTTTATTTTACATATTTAAAACTTACTTCCTACTTATGTTTACTAAAATACTATACTTTTAGGACTTCTGAGATCCTGGTAATATAAGTAACCATCATCCCCAGAGTTACTTTACATAAACAATAGACATAAATAATGCCCGTAACACTGAGGGGTAGATAGAAACCACGGATTTCCATTAACCGCAGTCCTGACACACCTCCCACATTTCAACATCCATACATCAACATGCACGTCGGTTTCAGAACAAAAAATCTACACTAAGTAACTTCCTAAATAATCATTAAACAAATATTAGTGAGACAGTAATTTTACTCAACACATGATAATACCAGTAGGTTAATCGTTTTATAGCTTAGTGAAGCCTTTATAATTGACTAAGGAATTATTGTCTAGGTATACCGGCTAGGCCAAACCGTGAAACCATATTAATGAACTTATCAGAGCAAGATAATTAAGATAGTATTAACATGTATTAACCTTAACATTCTGGAATTTTCTGAACTGCGAATAAATATTTTAAACAAACGAGACGTAAAATTACTATTATAATTATAATCTTTATAAATATTGTATCTACAACATACGCGTTAATTTATTAGAATTAACAAGTTAAACCAAAATGAACCTTATATGTACTATACTACATCTATACTTGCAAAATGAACAGTTTTCTGATTGAATTATATTGCGTGGGAAAGTAAAATATTTTCTTTCTGTGCATTCTCTCTTCCGTTGATTAAAGGTAGGTAACGCATATGCAATTGCGTATGTCTATGGGCAAAGGTCGCTTCGCTATTTCAGCGATTTCAGGTGACCGCTCGCTTGTTTGTCACCTTATGATATAAAAAAACTTAAACAAAACCTAAAAACTCTTAATGTAAAAAAACGTTTCGTTTTCCGCACACATTTACTTCGCGGGCGAAGACTGAATATTAAAATACTTCAATGTTTTAACCGCAACTGCGAGTCCATAGAAAACGACTTGTTACTTAAAAATGTCTTAGCATTTTACAGCCTTTGTTACGAAGCAGGAATTTTAAAATTTTACACTTAAATATCTTCTTCTTAGCGAAATGTAAAACGAAAGCTTATTGTTTAGTATTATTTGCATAAAAACACGATAACAATGAATACTAAATGTACAAGATTCATACTAAATAACGAAGAATCTTTTTGAAATATCGAATTAAAAAACTCGTTACATTATATCATCATCATCATCATCAGCTCACTATACATCCCCACCGAGGGGCTCGGAGCCTACCATAAGTTAAGGGTGATAAGGCCATAGTCAACCACGCTTGCCAAGTGCGGTTGACTATGGTTGGTTGACTTCACACATATCTTTGAATTTCTTCTCAGATATGTGCAGGTTACATCACGATGTTTTCCTTCACCGTAAAAACGTCGGATAAATGTACATATGTAAATCGGAAATCGAAAAAACACATTGGTACATGGCGGGATTCGAACCCAGGACCTTCAGATTGCAAGTCAAGTGCTTGTCCGACACCGCACCGACGCTCTGAAACATACTAAAAGGAAAACTAAAGTGTATGTGTGTGTAAACTACGTCCAATCAAATCCAACAAACTTTATAAAAAAATACATATCAGTTAGCTGTATTCTAGTTTATGTCAATTATTAAATATCTAAACGCACCTGAAGACTGTAGTTTTAATAGTGCGACAAAAAATAACAAAACCTTAATCCATAAAGTCGTATATCGTTTGGCCAATCGCCGTAGAACGTGGGGCGGAACTACAATCCCGCGACGGAAGTGCCCCGGGCTAACCGCGTTAGCTTCCAGCAGCCGCTCGTTAGCGATAATACCGCCAAGTAAATAGCTTTTGAGTCAACAACGACTAAGAAATGCTACAAGATGCTATTATCTAGACTTTCAGACATGTATTACCTGTTATAAAGTGTGGTATGTAGTTCAAAGGTAAAAATTATGGTCAAAGTACGTATGTAATAATTGTCAGTACATATACAATGAAAAACTACTTACTAAATACCCCAGTAATTATATTCAACCGATACACGTAATATTTACGAGTTGCTACGATATAACTTGCGTAGCACTTCGTAGCTACAGTGTAGCACATTGTAGATCAAAATGGATTTGACATTGAAAAAATTACTTTTACTTTTTTCAATAAACAATCGAATCAAACAATTAAGGTACTTTAAATAAATAACGGTTGTATTCATACTTATTTTGCCTTATACATAATAAGCTTCAATTACACATCAGTTGAATAACAAAGGAATTAAGAATGAATTTGATTTACTTTCAAATAGAAGCGAGCTTCAGTTTTGCTTTGCTATTGGCCTTTGTTCAAGGTAAAACATTTTAATTAAGGTAACAACCAAATTGAATTGCCCGAGTCTTTTGCAAATTACGCATTCTTTGTAGTTGAAGCAAATAAATTTTATTTTTAAAAGAGGACAGTATTGTTTTTGTACATGTGTAGAACACTATTGTTATCTCTATTTTCTTCCAAGAGAGTGAGAGAGACGTCAATAATAATGTCAGGTGACAGTGTGAGCATCGGTAAGAAAACGGTGTGTTATCCTTTGTAGATATTTAGTTACGAACGTAACGTCAAAACAATGAAGGAAAGAATTTCGAATATTTTTATGAGCCTATTTAGGTGTAAATTTAATATAAAATATTAACAAACAATCTCAAAGGTATTTATCATAATTTTTATTACTTTAAAAGGCCTTCCTTTAAATGCCTACGCAAATTGCCAGCTTGTAATATCCTATTAAATATGTAACATATCTGATATATAAACACGGCTAAACACTCACGTATATTCGTCCGGTGGCGGCACCGACTAGTTTCGAGCTCATCGGGGGCCCTTCATCAGGATGAGTGGTACTGGTATTACTACTATTAATAGTCGCCGCCACTGGACGAATATACGTGAGTGTTTAGCCGTGTTTATATATCAGTTTAGTATAATGTCTCACGAAAGTTTGAATAATTTAATGTAAAATATCTAACTAAAAAATATATATCATTGCATTTAATTATCGATTTAAAAATAATTTTTAATTATAAAAATAACTTAATTAACAATCAATTCTTTTGAAAAAAGTAATTTGCATCGGATGATAGGGTTTGCTTCATTTAACTTAATAACAGAATAAATTGGAAAAGTTTATGTTGGAACAGAGTTCAGTCGTGGTCATAGCGGATCTAAATGCATTGCACTATGAATTATATTGGAATAATATCCCTACATTGAGTTAATCCGAAAAGCTTATCAATTTCTGATTAACATACATAATGAATTTATGTACAGTTATAATTTGAAAGAGAATTTTAATAAACTCAAAAACTATTATACTTCAACTAATTCTATAAGCAAGTAAACTAGACCATATTTCTCTTTTTTATCTATATTACCTACGCGATTGAAAATGATTGGTTACAAAAAATATGAAGCATGTGTAATTAATTTTTTTTAATAAAAATATTAGCACATTTTTGTAAATTTACTTAATTCTTGTACCATTACAACTAAGCTCTATACTTGTGCTAGGACATGGTTTACAACAATAGTCGAATGACGGGATTCGAACTCCCCACCTCATGATTGGAAATCCGTACCCTTAACCATTAGGATATTGGCGCTTAAAAGTAAGTAAAGAAAATCCTCAAAGACTAGTGTATAAAAGGTTTTGTATTATAACCGTGTAAACACATTCAACGCTGAAGTTATACAGGCTGATTAAAATCTAGTTTAATATCTGTGGTAACGGCTCGTGAACGACTCTCGTATGCGCAATATAACGCCGTAAAAAATAAAAGTGTTGTGAAACTCGTAGAAACAAATATATAGAATAACATTTTAAAGTGCACTACAGATGTTTATTATCAAATATTTCATAAGTTTTATGTCAAAATAAGTTAATTGAATTTTCATTTATAAAGAAGACGACGGTAAATTAATAATAATGAATATATAAATTATCTTTTCTATTTTAAGAAGCAACCATCAATTTTTTGCCCCAGAAGGTGTAAAATTTTTAAGTTTTTAAAAAATGCCCTTTATTTTTTTAATACCCAGAGGCGAATTTTTATTTTATTTTTCTGGCGACCCTTGTGACCACCCCTATCATCCCCCTTCCTATGTACGTAACCTTTTGGGACACCCTGTATATAATTTTTACATAATTATATTTATAAGTAGACACAGAAAGCCGTCTGACATTGTAAACTCTACTACATAAACTATATGCGCATACGCATATATAAAGCGATGCATTTGTTTCGTATGTATTTACCTGTAATCGAGCGTCAGCGCTGACGGTGTAGACTCCGCGGCAATCACTCGTGTCCTCCGGCTTGTCTGTCGGCGCGCGTCGCCAACACGCCGCACAAACCGCCACCAGCACACCACACAGCGTCGCACTGACAACAACAATTACTGTTAGTTTACGTTGCAGAAATGTTATGCATTAAAACATATTAATGTTTCTATTTTCTATACATAATAAATCAGGAGAACACGTAGTAGAAGCTGGATAAAACACTGTTGTGCCTTCGAAAATGATAGAAGTTAACTTATTCCTAAATACTTTTTGCAACTTCAAGTGCATTTTTTTTAATTTTGGTCTTAAATATTGGTCTAAATATCCTATAAGATTACTTCTTACTGTTAAGTTTTGATTTTTATTATAATATATAATAATAGTCCTATACTCTGTTAAAAATCTGAGTACAAAGTACAGCAAACATTGTTCGCATCACATACTTGCTACATAAACTTTTATAGGTTTAAGTTTGAAAGTCACTAGTAAACTACAAGCTTTTATTATCTACATAACACTTTAAAATTTACTTTGTAAAATAATATTTTACATAAAAAAAACTTCAAAATTATACTTCTTTAAAAACAACTATTACTTTAAATATTTGTACCCAGATAGAATACGTGAAAATTCACAGTAAATTCAATTTGTAGCACTTTCTCGCTTGTGTAAACATTACTATGCATTTTGCTTTGTATTGCCAGTGATAAGCCCGATAACCGCTTCCGCTTGTAAAGCGCTAATATCGCTTAATTCTCGAGGACTTATTAGTATTGCGTGCTACGCCGCCAGAATTAATTATGTTAACCTCGCTTCACTACGCAACTCATTTACAACCGTAATTTACTCGCATTTCCTCTAAATTTTGTTCTTTATAGACGTGAACATTATAAATTGTAAACCATAGTTCGTAAAAACTAAGCATATGTACCAAATGTATTTCTGTTGTGGGAGAAACAACAAAAGCTATCGACGCCGTACCTAGAAAGCTTTCACAGTTGTTACATCCATTCGATCAAGCTGGAACATGTTATGTTGTTATGTTAGAAGAACGTAGCTTTAGTGGGAAATTAATTAGTCCAGAATATTCACATCAAAATAAATTCGTAGAGATAATCGTCACATTTATGTTGTAAAGTCCAAAAGCTTTTCAAATTCAAACATTTTTTGCCTTCGGTCACCTAAGTTGAAATTTAATTAAAATTGAACATTTTACAAATAAGCTTCTAGCCAATCTTTGTATCGTATTTATTTGTTTAAAAAAAAGGAGTAAAAAACGGTTCTGTTAATATTAAAATATGATAATCAAAGGATTAAGAATAATTATTTCTTCATTGGAAACGGCAATATACAGTCGCATGCTGTGACCTCAATTAAATTAAAATTGCTTCGTATTTATTTAAAAAGCTTTGAAGTAAAAATGAGTCAACAACACGCAAATCTAAATCCTTCAAAAATTTCCTTGGTTTTTAATAAGTTAATTTCTTCATACTTATATAAATTAATTAAATGTTAAACGTTACTTTAACCTATTTTAATTAACCTAATAAATAAGAAAACAAGTTCATATAAAATAAAATTGTTAGGAGCATTCTAACAACAGATAACTAATTACCCGATTTTATACGACATTCTATCAGAAAAATACGCACCGGTTTTGCAAAACCTTTTTACGAATATTGTATCGAGTGAAAACAATATCCATTAGGACATGCAAAATTTATGTGCCGGTTCGTGGCTCTATGACAACACTCATTTTGGTATTGAATCTCCAATTAGGAATCAATGTTACTGATATCTCGACGAACAACTTTATTTTAAACGTAAATTAAAGAAGGTTTTATAATAAAAGTCATACAGATTAAAAAATATTTATCAAATATTGGGTAAAAATTACGAACTATAGTGAAAACCGGCTATTTTTAGACTATTAATGAAAACTTATTTTTCTACTATCATATTGTACGAATCAATTTAATGATATTGTTTGTCATTGAATTTATTTTTAATGAATACCGTATCAACGTAATACGTTTACGTGATTAACTGAAAGGGAAAACAGATTTTTATCGGCTTTGTGAAGCTCGTCGATCGACGATTGAATAGTTCTCGCTTTATAGGATTAAGAAAGCTTTTGCCAAGCTCTAAGCCACGCGCGGAACTATAGCTTAGAGCAAATATATTCTTGCCTAACGAATTTGTTAAATTAACACGCCTTGTTACTTAGTCATTTAACATTCAATAAAGTTTTGCTAAGTGTTGATTTTCTCCCACTATAATGGAGTCACCCTTAGCAATCATTAAAAAAATGCGGCAGGTAGGAATACTTGCCATTTAAAATAAATTCCAGCTTAATACCTTCCCGCGTTTTTGAGAAAAAGGGCCTTGACAGATAGACGGACGAACAAAAAAGTGATCCTATAAGGGTTCCGTTTTTTACGGGACCCTAAATGGGGTAATTCCTTTTTATTTTTTTTTATTTTATAAAACTAGGTTGTTGGTTGACAATATTTCATTTTCTTTTATCTATCTACGAATATTACTATTCCTTTTGCTCACAACTTAATCTAGTTGTCCTTTATCTCAATTCCTAAGATGGAATAAGTCCAATTACAGTTTAGGAACTTATTACCTTGACGTAGATCTGTGACATGAGTTATTCTTTACCTCTGAACACTATTTATCGTTAACATACAAACAACACAACATATTTGTTTTGATTGAATGACACTCGCAAGATATGTTTGTCCCAACTAATTTTATTTGTGTGAACTAATAATAGTGGGGCGTCGGTGGCTCTGGGGTCAAACACTTGACTTGCAATCTGCAGGTCCTGGGTTCGAATACCGCAACGTACCAATTTGTCTTTCGATTTCCAACTTACATATGTACATTTATCCGACGTTCTTACGGTGAAGGAAAACATCGTGATGCAACCTGCACATATCTGAGACTAAATTCAAAGATACGTGTGGAGTCAACCAACCCGCATTTGGCCAGCGTGGTTGAGTATGTCCTAGTCACCACTAATTTAGGGTAGGCTCCGAGCCCCTCGGTGGGTATAATGGTGCGAACTAAAAATAACATTAAGATAATATGACTGTGCTTTTTATTTATTTTCAGTCGCGATATTTTTTCTACATTCTAACATATGTGTATTCTAATCATGCTCCTAGTAGTAATATGATTTAACAGCAATCAATTACGTCCATGTTTGCTTCGGATGTCAGATTAAGATTGGGTATAAACTAAGTTTGGAGCGTGTGGCGACCGTGGACCAAGTTTTGACGTTAATGGATTCACTTCTATCTTCTCGTTTCGCGTATTTATATACGACGAGTAACACATTCGACCTTAGCACGGTAAACTCTAGCCTAGATTACCTGGCCATCAGAAGAGTCTAAGAAGCAATCAGAAATAGGAATCTAATTTTTATGTTCCTTAATGTGGGGTTACAACAGAAGCTACTTCTTCAGTTTCTGTCTTTTTGTTTGTTGTGCCTCTAATCTGTAAATATAGACTGTATTATAATTCAAAGGACTTGACCTATTGGCGAGTAAAATACGAGAAACCTGGTGGATAATCTTATTTCTTAACATCTTCTTCCAAGTACTTTACATCCATTGCTTTTATGCTTTCAGCTGACAGATCAATTTGACGAAAACGGAACGGCTGTCACCTTTTACGGTGTTAATAAAATTGCGATAACATCAAATTTTACGAAATTTTCATATCTTATATAAATTTTATAGACTATTTGTAATATTACTTTCCCGACAATTTTACCGTGACATGAAATAACTTATAAAACAAGTTACGATATTCCGCGTAAATAAATACTGATAAAGAATCGAATGATTTTTTTTTTCAATACAAAATTCATACAAAAATAAATACAATTAGAAACTAATATTCCTTACTGATATTTGTTCAAGACCAAATTTATTAGACTTTCGTCGGACTTCGGTCGACGTCATAATAAATTCTAGAACTCAGTATTTGCAATGTAATTGAAGATCAACTCCCGTAGGATAGTCTATTGGCAGCGACGCCTTGACGCGAAGTAATTAACGTACTTTAAGCAATAAGCGAAATCAAGCTTTTCCACTAATAATTTTCCCATAGAGAGGTAATAAAGCGCGAGTGAGGACTCTGACCGGGAGATTTATTGCACTATAAACTGACAACGAGCATGACCAGTCATTTTCCCGGATTTCCAGTTTTTCGCTCTGATATTACGCTCCTTCATAAAGTTTGATAACGGCACTTTTATGTATTAAATGTTATACATAGAGGATATTCGTTTGGGAAATCATTTTAAATGGTTTTATGTTATTGAATTCAGAAGCTGATTTATCAATCGTATGCATATTTTGATGAAATTAGATAATACATTCGACCATACTCTTACCATCTTTATTAAAATTATAATATACGTAAACGCATGTGACTATGTAGACTTTTACAGCTAAACTCAAAAGCGGATAATATTTGCTTAATAAATACAAGTAAATAAATTGAAGACCAACCTTACAAAGAACACATTGACATTATAATGCATCGGTTCTGTCTGCGTGACAGTCGGCTGAGTGTGGTTGTAGTAGTGCTTGGCATGGGAGATGGCCGCAGCCGCTGCCAATCTCTGCGAGCTGCCCATCGCCCAGCCGAGCGGGCTGCGCTGCGCACTAGCCGCGCCCGCCGCGCCCACCGCGCCCACGCTCGCCGCACACCAGCGGCGCCAGCGAGCCACCACCGTACCCAGCGGCGCCGCCTGCGCGACTGCCGACTGCCACCACCAAACTTTTGTTGCTTTTTTTTTAATTTATAATCACCAAACTATTATTTTTATATCCAGCCAATATTAAATTATTGTTTACGTATCTATCAGCTAGCTTTCTTATTCCATCTATCGACCAAACACATCTGAAACAAGATAGATAAGTTGTGTTTAATTATTCAGTCGATTTTCTTTGTAAGTTTATTCATAAAGTTAGCAGTTTGTTAAAGAAGTTTTGTTAGAATTAATTGGATTCGGATGTCGTCGTCTGGACAGCGATGTAAAATAATGGTGTTGTTTGAATTTGAAAGAAAATTGAAATTCTGAACGCGAAGTATTGGGGAATTAAATGGGAAGTCGATCTTCGTCACTAACGATGCCAACTCTAATTATTTAGACATTTTAACAAATGACTATGTTGATGAACTACTTTGAATTCTTAACTTTTATCACGACTGTACAACTGTCTCTTTTTTAATTTATTGCATTTATAATACTGGCAGTTAGGTACTCATCTCGTTATTTACAAATCAAATCATTCATAGACTTATATTAAGAAACTGAGAACTTATATACCGTTACTGTCAAGGCACACGTAAAAACTAAAATTTGTTTAGTTTAATAATATCTATTGTAATATTATTTTATAATTCCGATTGAACCAAGCACAAAATATTCAATATCCTTGTATGTGTTTAATTATTTATTCTAGAAATCAAATAAATCAATCTTTAAAAAAGAGAAATCTCAAATTCTATTACAGAGTTCGATAGCAGTTATTTAAAGAAATGAAAAAAAAAAACATATACAAACTAGTTAAAACCGAATTCAAAATAAACAAAAGATTTGTGACGTCACTTAAAACAAAATTGTATATGCGAGTTACTTTTGTTTGACAACTTTTAGAACTGAAGAGACTATTTCCATAGTTTTAATAGCTTTAAAACTATAATTGGTTTTAGAATAAATCGCAGACCTTTTATTTAAAATAATTTAAATGCCATTTAATAGCACACTATTTTTTGTACTTTTAAATTATATCTTTATATCTAACCCATAAATTATATAATGTATAATATTATAAGTTAAACAATTTAATATAATTAATATTTAAAAAATTATTAAAATTTACCTTATAAATGTAACACAAAACCAAGTTATCACTTTACGCGGCACAAGTTCGCGCGAGTTCGTCGGGCGATGACGCGACCTGCGCCCCCGGACTGTCACACTCGAGTGCCGGAAACAACCCCCGAGTCCCAACTACGACCAACTCCGAGCAAACTACAGCCACACTCTCCAAACATAGGAGCCAACATTTGCGATACATTGAAGTACATACACTTTTAATATACGTAAGTGATTTAAAAATAGAATTTTACGAGCGACATCTATTTGTTTGAACTGTTTTTGTTTTATTCAAGTGTTGGCTTTTCAGTGTTAAGTTTTCAATTGTTTTCCTAAATGTTTTGTAAGCTTCGCGCATTCGTTACATTAATTAATGGAAAAATGAACGAACTAAATATAAAAAACGTATTGTTCGCAAATAATATATTATTTAATACTGCATTTTTAAACAATTTCAGCACAGTTACGTTATAAATATCGCGTCACTGAATTGATTTTTAAAACAATTACCCCATAAATCTTATTTACGACCACATTACATTGTGATGTCGAGTAACAACGCTTTAACAAAACAAATTAAAATTATCATCATGGAGAATTAAAATAAAAGCGATCATTTATTTAATACTAGCGGTCGTCCGCGACTTCGTTAAAGTTAAAAAAAAATCGTAGCCTAAGTGTTCTTCCAGACTATGTTCTATATGTATACCAAATTTCATCAAGGTCCGTTAAGCCGTTCTGGATATACCTTCAAACAAACATCCATCTAAACATTCGCATTTATAATATTAGTAAGATAAAATTTTTTCTTGCATATTGCATTTTTAATTTATTACTAACTTTTACCCGCGGCTTCGCCTGTGATAGATAACATTAATTTACTCCTTGTGAGAATTTATTATACAAAAGACGGGAGAATATAAAATGAGTTTCTGCAATATTTTATTAAATTGGAAGCTTCATTTTAGATTCATTTAGAATACTTTGAAGTTAATAGTTCGCTGAATAGTTAGATGACCTAAGTCTATGAAGCGTCTAACTTAGATTGAATTAGGCTTGCAAATACCAAACCGTGGAATGTATACTACGGAATAGTTCCTGCAACTGTTAAGTAATATTAACTCGCAAAGGCATGTTAACTACTTAAATATACATAGTTAATAAAATATTAATCTTAATTAAGAAATTTATAATGTTTTTAACAAGTGAAAATGATAACTTCTAGAGGATAAAATGATCTTTTTTTCTTTTATCTGTATCGTAGAATATTGGATATTTTATGAACTATACACGAAGAGTAACCATTGGTTTGTGTGGTCAAAATCTATCTTACATCGTTGACAAAACATAGATAAGAATGTTTTAAACGGGAATTTTAGTCTCAGAAAAACACAGTTATAATGCCAACTTTAAAATTATTAAAATATGAGTCTACGAATATTTTTTAGTACAATTTTTATTTCATATAACAATACTAATGCATGTTCTTATATTATTTTTGTCACTTCTTAACGGATAACATTAGATATAGATTCGTATCATTCAAGTTAATATCAAGATATGAAATCATCATGTGCATCGCTATCAACTAATTCGTATCATGTCATTTCTAAATCATAACCCTACTAAAGCGATTGTCTTGTTTGGTGCCAACATTTGGACAAACATGTCTGTCGATAATGTCTGGATGTTGTCACTCCCTCGCTCGTGGCCGACCCGTCACGCCGCAAGGTATGTCCGTTAATGTTTTATTTTGCTTTGCTAAGCGAATCTGCACCTTATAGAGAGGCTTCGCGGCTTATTGTGTTATAATAGAATTTCCCTTGTATAGTGGGAAACTTTAATATTCATATTGCTTCCGTTTTAAAGCAATTTGTATTTAGTTTAGAATCACTTAGTGTTGCTTTTAGTTATTTATTTGTTGTTAACATTATCGGAGATGTGAGAAGCAAAAATGTATCAGCGAATTTATAAAAGGACTTTTCATATTTGTAGAAATTATGTCTATAATTTCTATTGTATAGATGTAAATAACTATAGTAAACTTGGGATTACTCCGCGTCCCACTCTATTAGCGTTTGTCCGTCCGTCTGTCTGGCTGGGAGTATTCGATTTATTGCGTCTGACGCGAGGTCCCACGGGAGCCTGTTGGGATCACATAGGACGCCCGCTACGCTGTAATTAATTTTCACGCCATGTCCGTTATGACTAACAATTTAGAACTTATAATGTCAATTTTGTCACATTCGATAAATTCCAACTTGAGTTAGTTAACAAAATGTGCCGAAGCAATTATTTATAGTTCTTAAAATTACAATAAATTAAGATACATAGATAAAGTCATTGGATGAATCGCGGAATTGCTTCCATTTTGCGCGTGTTTTCTGTATGGTTGTAAAGCAGTCTCAAAAAAGTCTCCCTCTCACTGGAAATGTATCGAGTAGTCACAATGAAACACTGGTTATATCTTGGTGCGAGTCAACTTTAATTACATTCGATTGGCAAGTCGATAAATATACTAAATAAATTAATACCGCGATCTAACAATATGTTCCGCCATCTATTGATATAATATTATAAACTAAATTGACATAGCATTTGACAATGGTCTTGGTATTACCACGAGTTGGCTGGACTATTCGTGCTACAGATTTGAGCATCTACCGCTGTTAACTTAAATTGTTAATTGGTGATAAAAATGTTAATACATAGTTGTGTTATTTTAATATTGAAGAAGATGTTAGCCGTTGACAATATTTCCTTGTTAATTTTTTTTTTAAATCATAAAACTATGGAAATTTTCTATTTCGTTTTTTTGTTCGTTATTTTTTATGTTCTATGATGAGATGTTATTTCTGTAGCGAAACTATTAAGCACTGTATGCGTGAAATTATCTGAGAGTCCATCTCAAATCAATTAATGTGCGTGCATCAGTGGTCTTATCTTTTCAATTAAGTTTCGTTGCAAACTGTGACATTTTGTTAATTATGATCGGGAAATGAATCAGTCTCGTATTCATTTGTTTACTAAGTTTGTTTCTAGTCAATCGAAAAACTTTTCCAATATTTGTCTGTAAAATTGGTTGGTTTGAAAAAGAATTCTGGCTGATATATTTAAAGATTAATTTAATCTAATTTTTGTTAATTATTGTAATATATTTTTTTTTTTACGTTTTATAGCCGTTCTATTATTTTATTTATTAAGAAAATATTGATTGAAATGTAAAAAAATTGATGGAAAATTAATAATCAAATAAATTTTACCATCGCTTACGGAATGAAAATTCAAAGTTTTTCGGTTTTTGATTTCGATCCTTAAGTAAGGATTGTGGCAAAACTTCGGCAAAAAGTCGGGAATTCCCAATTTCTTTTTAAATCAATTTAAGTTTACAAACACATATAAAAAAATGTATACCTATCTCTGTTTTTTAAGAGAAGAAAGGGGATTTATATGTTTCCAAGGACAAGCAAAAAATAAGAAAAACGTTTTTGGCGTCAAGCCGTGTTAATCTTTTCTAGTTAATTATTTTGGCCTTGATAATTTTTAATATTTTATTATGTAACATATAGGTATTTTTAGACATTATTAGTTAGAATTCTTTGTCGCGAATGGCGCGCTTTCATAATAAAGCCAAGTGTCAGAATGATTAGTGAAGGGACATAATCATCGACATTTTAGTAAAGCTAGTGTTGCGCCAGTACACAGTGTCGGATTTTCTCCCTAACAGTATACCTATAT